ACTTATATAATATTAAAATATTTCGTTTCATGTAAAAAAAATGGCCATTCCGGATTTTATCAGAAACCTTTAGTTTCGTTTTACAAGTCGTTTTTGTGCTGTTGGGCACGATGCGGCAAGTTGGGCAATGCGGCAAAACGTACCCACCGGTTTTTCAAACCGTTAAAGTGTTTGTGAGCATCAATTTGCACCATTTTAATTTTCAATTAGATTTCTGTGATGATAATACTACAAGGGACTTGGATATTATTAGCAGATTTTGCTATTGTGGCGTTTAGTGGAATTGCAGGAACTACAGGTGTTTAATTACAAAATTGGAATGGTGTAAATTGATGCTATGTCCTTGATACAAATTAAAAATTTAGAAACAGTCCCTTTAAGTTCAAATGACTTGGCTAAAGGAGCTCTTTCTCGGAATTTCATTTTCGTTGATGTCCCAGCACTGTCCGAGCACAATGCATACATAACCGCTTCTTCTTCTTGTCGATTTTTCATTATGAATCGAAATATCAACTACAAAACACTACGCAGAGTCTTAATAATTGACCCAAGGCTGATGAAAATGTCAAGCAATGAAAATATTATCACTTGTAAATGTCACATTTACAGAATTTTCCATTCAAAATGTTCATCCTTTTCATGGGAAATGTATGTTTTTTCAAATGAAAATGGTTAAATGTAAAGATGGTAATGGACCCAAAAGCATTTTACGACCAATGATATACATTTTGTTGTAAAATGACAGACAAATTCAATTCAAAATCAGACTAGTTGCAGGAATGTTGATTCCTCCCATTGCACACTGCATGTCGTTGCCCGTCTTCATTAGTCCGATGAGGTGATAGAAAAGGGGCGTAAAACTCCATTCATTTAATTTCAGTTTTTTTACATTTTCAAAAATATAATCTATCTATAAGTTGGCGAATACAGCCAATCAATATTGTTTACAGTCTATCTTTCGAGGGCTTTGATTGGTTGTATTCGCTGGAGTACAATCCAATCAAAATGATGCATTCCGTGATACTAGAATAAAGGCTATTGCAGTCAAGGTAAAGACGGGGTCAGCCGTAATTAACGTGCTTTTTAACTGGCGTCGACGTAAAGCTTCCTTTTGAACTTGGTCTGAAATGTACAAAAACAAAACAAGTATAGCCTTCCAGGACCCCTTTTGCTTGGATTGTAGGAGAACATGATGCCTAATTTTAATTCGGAAAGTAAATTGGAAGTTGGATTCTCAACCCCGTAGTCTTCACTATTAGCAATTTGGGACTGCCCCGACAGTTGTCCCATTACGGCATTCTGCCCCCTGTTTGTATCCCCAGTTTCAGGAAGCTGTCACCCCACCGCCTATAAAAATTGCCTTACCCCAGGGCTACAACAGGGCTATCTGATTTCAGGTTTGATACGTCGAATATTTCTTGTTCTTCATCCGAGCTCCACATACTGTCCGTGTCCGACATCTTGGATTCGTCCAATCTGAAAAAAAAAATGGCATCGACTTATCAATACAGAACAAGGCACATGGTTCATCAAATCAATATTAAAGGGACAAGTTCGCCATCCGTTTGACCAATCAAATCCTGGCCTTAGAAACAGTCTCCTTTTTTTAGCTAAGCTAATCAGTAATAGTGTTCACAGCTCACAGTCGAAATTTGAGCCTACAAATCCATGTATGTCCAGAAGTAGCTGAAATGTTATAAAGGCTAGGTCGTCTTTTCTTGAGACTCTGCCATATAGAAAAGACATACAAATAAAAAGTGACATTTTTGCTAACTTATCTCACAGAAGCACAGGTGTAGTAGTCAGCATCTTTTGAATACTAAGTGCCTTAAGAAGAGTAAGCATACTTACACACTGACTACGTAATGCGAATCATTCCTAGAACGATGAAAACTGGAGACTTTCCCGCCATAATTGTCGTTTTTATCCGACGTCATAAAACTAAATTCTCTTAAAGATCTGCCTCGAAATGGTCTGCGATGAGCCATAAAATGAAAGAAATATAACGGAGTTTTACGCCCGATTTTTTTTTGTGTAATATTTTTTTGCAATAATGAGGAGTAATTAAAAGTCATTATGACCAACATTTCGGTGACGTAAAAGAAAATGACGTTATAAGGATCCAAACAGTCTTACCGATTGAGCTACAACCTTTCACCAAAGGACTTAGCGGGAGAATGGTGATTCGATAGGTTGGAAGATAATCTAAGATAATCTCAGATTAAGTACATTAAGATCAAATCGTAAGCCACAAAAATTCATATCTGAAATTTCTTCTTATTTTTTGAACGACTTTTGAAAGCATTCAAAGGGAAATAACTCTGAAAAGCGACAGAAAAAGTCAACAATTTTTCTTTTTATTAAAAATTTAAAAAAATTGTGTTAAAAATTTCCAAATTCTTCATTTAAGGTCGGATATTGGACCCAATTTTGTCGCAAGAATAACTCCACTCGTTCCGGGTCTGAAAGAAAACAAAATTAACTTTCAGAAACAGAGTTATTTCCCTTCAACCGTGTTAAACATATGAAAAAAAAATTGGGTGTCTGTAAAATGCCGTCCGTTTAGCCAAGGGTCTAGATTCAAAGGAAATTATTGGTCATGTCAATATCGGACTTCTTACTGACACCTTTGAAGAACGAAAAAAATTTGAATTTCAAAATATCAAATTAATCTTACTGTTTTATTTGAAAGATTATACACATGACGACTAGGGCGGCCACCAGAGCCCCGCATCCCACTCCCACTCCGAGTATATAATGAAACATGGCGGAGGCTGAAATGAAAGCATGGACTAGTCAAAAAATGGTCGAGAGTTCAACTGGTCATCGTTTGATGAAAACTAAGCCTTTCTTTTCGGAACATGGTAAAAACGTCTAGTCGTTGATGGGACATACATCGTGGTCCCGTGTTCTACAGGCTGTGTATGCTACAGATCCCTCGACAGTTGGAAATCTCAAAAGAGTAGGCTAATACAGCTGTCCCGGCATTTTTTCTCACCAGCCAAAACAGAGAAGTAAGACGTAAAACTCCATTCCTTTAAATTCCTTTAGGATATTTTTATTTTGATCGTAGTATATATTTCTACAGGGGAAAAATCCCATCACCGTCCATTAATGACCTTGAGAGAAACGATTTCAAAATTTACTTACACTTGCAGACGTCCTTTGGTGGTAGGGTAGTAGGAATGGCTTCCGGTTTACTCGCTACAGTACTGCCCTCAGCTTCGGCTTGGACTACAGGCTTGACTGTTTCTTTTTCTTGCTCAGTCTTTTCTTGATTCACTGGTTTTTCCGTTTCCAGTATCTCCTCAAACGGTCCCTGTATCTCGATAACAGACGTTATAGGTTCGGAATCCTCGTTATCTTCAAATACCGGATGTGACGTCTCTAAACTTGCTATTTTAAAAGGTATCATTTCATTGCCCCCTCCTAACGGACCTTGACCTTCAATCATTTTAAGATTGACTGTCTTCTGATGTCGAGCTAACTTCATTAATTTTTGTAATTCGCGTTGTTCTTTTTTGGAAATGTCGCCCTCCGAAATGAGTACTTTAGGATGTCGATGTTTGGAGGCATACTTTTCGACTTGGTCTATGATCTCGTAGACTCGATCGGCTTCATTGGGTATATTATTATTTTTACGTCCATTCGTGTCACTTTCGATTTGCTGATTACCTTTTTGGGCTAGTTTTTGAGGATTTTGTTTCTTCTGAGTTGTATTTTCAAGATTGATTTCTTTCTCAAGCTGATGTTCGACAGGAAGATCTTCGACATTTTGAAGAAGTTTTTGGATTTTTGGATTACCTTTATGAGTTTTCCCCATTGTTTTCTCCTGATGATGATGTGGTATCTGCATTTTCGTCTTTTCTTCTGTCTTATGTTTGAGAGGACTCTGCATTTTCGTCTTTTCCTCTATCTTATGTTTGAGTGGACTCTGCATTTTCGTTTTCTCTTCCGTGTTATGTTTGAGAGGACTCTGCATTTTCGTTTTCTCTTCTGTTTTATGTTTGAGAGGACTCTGCATTTTCGTCTTTTCCTCTATCTTATGTTTGAGTGGACTCTGCATTATGGTCTTTTCCTCTTTCTTATGTTTGAGTGGACTCTGCATTTTCGTTTTCTCTTCCGTGTTATGTTTGAGAGGACTCTGCATTTTCGTTTTCTCTTCTGTTTTATGTTTGAGAGGACTCTGCATTTTCGTCTTTTCCTCTATCTTATGTTTGAGTGGACTCTGCATTATGGTCTTATCCTCTTTCTTATGTTTGAGTGGAATCTGCATTTTCGTTTTCTCTTCTGTCTTATGTTTAAGCGGACTCTTCTTTTTCGTTTTCTCGTCTGTCTTATGTTTGAGAGGACTCTGTATTTTCGTCTTTTCCTCTGTCTTATGTTTGAGTGGACTCTGCATTTTCGTTTTCTCTTCTGTCTTATGTTTGTGAGGACCCTGTATTTTCGTCTTTTCGTCTGTCTTATGTTTGTGAGGACCCTGTATTTTCGTCTTTTCCTCTGTCTTATGTTTGTGAGGACTCTGCATTATGGTCTTTTCCTCTGTCTTAAGTTTGAGTGGACTCTGCATTTTCGTCTTCTCTTCTGGTTTGAGTGGACTCTGCATTATGGTCTTCTTTTCTGTGTTATGTTTGAGTGGAACCTCTTTTAAACCCCCTTCAAACAGGTTTGATGATTGTGGTCTCTGCATTTTGGACTTTTCCTTAGACTTATGTTTTTCTGGTCTCTGTATTTTGATGAAATCATTACCTTTTGGAGAATGTCTCTGTATTTTGGTCGGTTCTGTTGTTTTAAGATGGTGTGGTCTCTGCATTTTGGTTTGCTTCGTTGTTTGATAAGGTTCCTTTACTTTCTTCTTCTCTGTAGTTTGCTGTCTTTGTATCTTTGACTGCTCTGTTGTTTTATGATGTGGTCTTTGTATTTTGGCCTGTTCTGTTGTTAGAGGTCTCTGTATCTTGGCCCGTTCTGTAGCTTTATGATGGTGTGGTCTCCGTATTTTGTTCTGCTCAGTCGTTTGTTGTATCGGTAATCTCTGCATTTTGGTTTCCTCTGTAGTTTTATCTCTCTGAATTTTGACCTGCTCTGTAGTTTTATGATGGTGTGGCCTCTGCATTATGGTTGGCTCTGTCGTTTGATTACCCTGAATTTTGACCTGCTCTGTAGTCTTGTGATGGTGTGGTCTTTGTATTTTAGTCAGCTCTGTAGTTTTATGATGTTGTGGTCTCCTTATTTTGGCCTTCTTAGTAGTTTTATCATAGGGTGGTCTTTCCATTTTGGTTGGCTCTGTAGTTTTTTGGCCATCTGTAGTTTGCTGTACCAGTAGTCTCTGTATTTTAGTCTGCAGAATATTTTGATGTTGATGTGGTCTCTGTATTTTGGTCTTCTGTATAGTTTGATGGGGTCTATGTATTTTGTACTTTTCTGTAGTTTGATCGGGTCTCTGTATAAATGTATGCTCTGTTGTTTGATTTTGATTGGACCCTAGCATTTCGGCCAAGTCATCTGCCGTGGCCTGTTTCTTTAATTTGGCCTGTTCTTTACCCTGTATCTGATGAGGTCTTCTAACCCCTGTTTGTCCTGCTTTATGCTGACTTAGTCTCTGCATTTCAAAAGGATCTTCCACTTTATTTGCCGGTGATTTCTGTATTCGTGTCTGTTCTCTGACTTTTTGTGGATGAGATCTCTGTTCTTTGGTCCGTTCTGTAGTTGTGGGTAAATTTGGTCTCTTTACTCTGCTCTTTTGGTCACCTAGACGCGGTCTCTGTCCACCTTTATGTGGTTGAGGTGATTCTGATCTCTGCATTTTTTTCTGTTCACCACCCTTGGCCATGAGATGAGGTCCACCGTAATAAATGAATGGTCTCTGAATTTGGTCTGGTAGCGGTTTGCCGAGTGCGAGTATGGGTTTACGTCGGGATCGTTCTAGAATTGAGCGTTCATGATCGTTGGCACCTTGTAACTGTCCTTCTTTGATGTCCGATGCTCTGTGCCATGGACTTCTAAAATTTGCGTTGAATCTAAAGTCTTTGCCATCTTGTAATCGTGGCTGTGATTGCCCCAGGTGGTCTTTTTTCGCTATATGTGCTGCAGTGCCTCCTGCAAGCATTAAAATTGGTTTTACAATTTAATGACCTGATTAAAACAAGGTGAGAATGGTCTGGGGCGTGATCATGTTGATGTTGATGGAACTAAGCTAGCACTCACATTCCCTGACGGCTAGTCCTTGGCCAGGCCAGATCTCTTCTTGGCATTGATTTGTCCAAGATTATCCGTACTCATTTACAGCTTGGTCGACTTGAAATGTGAGTAAAGATGACTTTACGTCTTGGTCAAAACACGTCTTTTGATGACTTTTTGCTACATTTTTCACCTAGCCTAGAGGCTAGGTAGCCGTCCAAGCTAGAATTCTCTTACTTTAAATAGACTTTAGTATTAGCCTAGTCTTAAACCTGTCGAATCTAATGCATAGTTATGTTCAATGTACCTACATCTTTTAATGCACCAATTTGCGAAACATGCAGCACTTACCTGCAAACGCAAGAAATAAACTAAAAAACAAAGCATGTCTGAGAACGGCAAGAAAATGTCCTTTAAACGTCAAATTTGCCATTTTTGTCGGCCATGTTTGATTTACTTGACGTCGTTACTTCATGACGTCACGTCATCGACGACGTCATGTAAAGCACAAAGACAGAGGCGGAGCCAGGTTTACGTCCGAGAGGGGGCGAGGGAGCGAGATTGCCCGAGTCTTTGACCTAGTTATGAGATTTTTGCCCGAAAAACTTGCTTTCGGGGCTGCGAGGGGGGAGGAGGCGGGCGCCTGTCCCCTCTGCCCCCCTTTGGCTTCGTAACTGAACAAAGACTGCCGCAATCTTTTCTATTATCCAGACGTAATATAGATCTGGGTAACGAAGGCTAGTCTATTGCTCGACCAATATTTTCCGATATGCCTAATTGATATTCATATTTGGATAAGTTATTTGTGTTAAATCGGAAACTAGTATAAGTAGCCTTTGAAACATTAATAGACGAAATTGGGAGCTGATAGGGGTAGACTAGAAAGAGAGGGACACTCAAAAACCATCTTATATATTTCTTAAGGAGATCGAAAAATACCATTGCCTGCCCCAAAGTTTTGATCACTGTATTAAATTATACGATACACTGATTTTCAAAAGAGCACTCATAAAAATTTCGGTTCCAAGACAAATATTTCTGATAAAACGACCTTGGTCTCTTGGTCATTGATCCGATACAAAATCCAAGGCACCCCCCTAAGATAACCGCTAAGGGTTATTATTTTACTTAATTCGGTCGGTAAGACATTTTGTTTTTATTTACCTAAGCGTCACAATAATACGTCATGGATAGCATGTAAACAAAACGAAGGTGCCACAAGTGTAGCCGCAGTCAATGTCCCACTGAGCTCGAAGTTTGCCCTAGGTCTCAAAAAGAATTGGGTTAATCAAATGCACGAGGTATTGCTCAACCTGTGTGACGTCATCTCTCATGTCTCCAAGGCAACTCGGTTTGCCGTCTGCCATTGGCTAATTGACCGGAAGCGATTGGGAAATCTTCGTCTGGAAATGTCAAGTAGCGAACGGAATGAATGGAAGAGAGATTTGGAGAAAAAGACAAAGAAAGAGAAGATGATGAAAATATTGCGAAACGAAATGTTTTTGTGTTGCAAGGGTTATGAAACTAGGTTTAAACCATGTTGGATCTGTCTGTTCCGAATTTATAAATGTCAGTGCATTAGGTACCCCCGCCATTTTCCATGCAATTGCCATTTCACTATAAAGGCTATATATTAACAGGCAAGCATTCTCAGAACCTTTCGACCTCCCCGCGAGATGATCTGGGAGGAATTCTAAAAATCTGTGTAATGTAAACGGCAATTTTTCTGAGAGCAGTTTACTGCGCAGACCTTCTTTGTTGCCTGCAGAATTTCGCCATTGTTCAGCGCCGTTGTTGATAACATCCGGGTGACAGCAAGGACTAATTTCAACTTGTGGTAAGATCTAACACAGCTTGAAAAGAAACTTTCAGTTTAAAATTCCTCAAAATTCGCTAATCTAACATGACTAAAGTCAAAGCGCCAAATTTCCAGCTACGTGCCACTAAACATAGCGGTTTCGTACAAAATCAGATTCCAGTATACGTTACCAGGAAATAAAACGAATATATAACTGTCAGTGAGGGAGAGGTTTTGATGTTTTAACTTGTTGCCAGTCAGCTTCCGTGTCGAATTTTTCGTCTGAATCTGTCTTCACCTAATAAAAGACATTGAATGTCTGAACGTGGAAAAGACGATGCCAAAAATTGTACGTACCCTGTTAGGCTACTCTAATTTAAAAATTGATTCACTGACGAAAGTTCCTTATCCGAAATTCGCTCATAGTGCAAGAAAGTTATCAGGATTATCAGACAAAAGACATTGTTCTGACAAATAAAGTAACCGAAAAGACTGCCACAATTATGTTCTCTGAAAGAAGTGTCGAGTTGTCAAAATCAAATAGCAACTAAAACTTATTAGCTATGTGGACTCTCTGAAAGGCATGCAGAGTTGACAAAAGCAAATAGCTAAACACTATTTGACATGTCGACGCTTCAAAAGAGATATCCCCAGTCCCCTTATATTTTTTATAACCTCGAGCATTTAAGAATATATTCGTTCCTGAAATTTTTTAGAAAAGAATCCAACAGACTACAAGTACCCCGACTCACTTTCTAGTTGTACGTTACGTCCTTGCGAAACCGGTTGTATTGCATCCCTCAAACGTGAATTATTACGTTTGGCCTAAAACAACCTTTTAATGGCGGGCATTTCACATTCTATTTTACATCACATTTTTATTAAACGTCTGCTCTTATCTTCTGTCATCCTTCTTTTGGCGGGAAAATACTTCACTTCTGCCACTCTGTTGCTTGGCATAATTGACATGAGGCGCGAAAATTACTTCAGCATTAAAAATGGTGAGGAAACTGGCGGGTGTTACTTGTAATGAACTGTTAAATTATTTAGAGGTGACGTGTGCATCAGGATCGAGTGCATTCTTAAGTTTTTTAAGGTGCATTGAAAGGAAGGAAGACAGAAACAACCATTTTTTTTACAAGGATAACAACTTAAGTTCGTGAGAATCTTTCTACCAGCTGGTCCTTGGCCAAACCTCTCGGAGTTGATCTTTCATGGATTACCTGTACACATTTACAGCTGGGTCAACTGGAATAATGAGGAAATATGACTTATTCAAGGTCACCAGACGTTCACATACCTGATCGGTATAAGAACCCATGACCACCATTTGGTCTACATAGCCAAGACGAATCTCCGTGAAAGTACTGGCCTTGGTTACAGAGCATTGGTTATTTTAAAGCATCAAGGCAAAGGTTGTGAACAGATCGGCTGCTGGCTAGGTCAAGGACATTACACGGGCAAAGATCATTTCCGCTACAGGCAATGCGTATGAAAGGTTCTCGTCCGTTGGAAGAATGTGTTCACTTTATTGTGTCTCCGGTTTTCATTAAAAGGAACTGATATGTAGGGCGTAAAACTCTATTTTATTACTTCCATTCCTGTTCAATGCATTTGCTGTCCTGATGAGG